ACATCAAAATTGAAAAATTGAGAATTTGTTTTTAAAATTTTTGTACAAAGCGGGCCTTGTTTAAATAATCTTTTGTACATTTTTATCAATTTTTTCCGATTTTAATAATAATAAATTTTCTTTCTGTTTTCAATTTTAGGATTTTTTTTCTTAAAATATACTAAATAAGTCTAAAAATTATAAAAAAAATCCCCATATCTCCATTTTTTCAAAAAAAAAGTTTACGCAAGTAGTCGGATGCCTTAAGTCAACAATGAAAAAATTATTTTAGTTACTTTTTATTAAATAGTTATAATTAATATAAATATGTATACATATATGATAGAATCACAATATTAAGTGACAAAATAGAAAGCGATTTTCCTTGTAATTTTCCATTTTCCTATCTGTGTATAGTGTTGGACTAATAATTTTATTCATCAATTAAATTTCATTATTCCATTAAGATAGTATGGTAAAAAGAAATCACATTCTCAGAAATTAGACTATCCCAGGTGGGATTCAAACCCACGACCTTTGAATTAGAAGTCCAACGCGCTACAGAGACACAGCGAACGATTTTCCTTTCTATATATTCTGTTAGACTATTATTTTTATTAGTTACTATTAATTCATTTTTTAATTTAATTAATGAATTAATATTTGAAAAAACTGTATTAACATCAAGTTTAAAAAAAACTGTTTAAACATTGAAGTTTCTCCCTATATACATATATATATAGGGAGAGAGTGAACTAAAAGTAAGAATTTTTTGAAAAAAGAACTTCTTAAAAATGTATACCTCTTGTAGCTAAAATGTAATGTAATCTCTATTGATACTATCACACTTTAGGTATTACGGACAAAAACTGATTTTCTATTTTAAAACGCGGTTCTCATGCTTTTGTTCCCGATTGCGTAGTGTAAAAAAACTAATTTATTTGAAATCTCATAACCTAATGTGATAGGTTTTGATACCTTTTAATATCTACCCATATTTCAATATCTGTAGTCAGATATTAAACAATTCCCTTATTTTTTAGAGTTCTGTGTCGACTTTGATTGTCCACATAAATTTTTATTATCTTAACTGTCGGTGTTTTTTCCGAAGAATTGAAATGTAACTTTCAAAATTTCAGGAAACAAAAGAACGAGAATTAATTTAAATTTAAAAATTCGCAATTAAAACTTACGATGATATATGTAATTCTCTTTATAAGAGTAAAAATCTACATAGTTCACTATGATGTACTTTGAAATAGGGCGTGTTCCCTCGTATGCAATAATCGATTAGAGAATGTCATAGACCCCATTTTCAAAATGACTTATTTTTCATGAATATGCATGATTTGTATAATTTATTCGGACCCAGAGTATAATCAAGTGGGTTAAAGAATCAACCGGAAACGCCAGCTAATTTGGAATTTGTACGCTCAAGTTTTGATATATTTTCGATATGTGTTATTTATAACGTAGAAATAAACGAGATTTTTAGAATCCTATTGAAGTAGTTGATGGGACTACACAAAATTTTTCTTATCTAATTTCGTACTCTGAAAAATGTGTACATTAAGATCCCACTTAACGTGGGGTATACGTTCCATCAGAGTAGACCGTAATTTGAAACAGCGTCTCATCATGTAAATAATGGGGTTAGGAGAAGATGGGTAGAAAATTGGTCAGTTATTTTACCATTAAATTTATTAATTATGTTTTAAAACAATAAAACAAAAATATATTTCTTGCAAATATAGAAACATAATAAACGAATATACATATAAAAATAAATAAAACTCAAAATCAGTATGTTTACATTCCAGATCATTCAGTCCCTTCTGTATTTCCAATTTTCTGTCTTTTTATCAAGAAGGTAGATTGACTTAAAGGCATATTGCGTTCAATTTCGTCATCAATCCGTATATAAAGTCGTTTTTCCATTTCATATATTGTATTATTTCTAGAACGGGTAATTCTAGTTGCAGAGCTTGTCGTAGATGCAGTTGCCGATAGCAGTATTTTTTCTTTATTCTTAAGAATGGTCCTTATATATTTGAAGTTGCCAAATTCAATGCAGCCCCAATTTGAGATTGACGTTCACCAGTATCTAATCTTCTAATCACTTGCATTTGAGTTTCTAGTGAAATGCTTTTTCTTGTAGATTTATTTTCGTGGTTTTTATTATCACCCATGATAAAAACTAAAAATCGTAATATTTGTCACTGTAGAAATTGTTACATTATCTAAATTTATACTTACAATAACGTCAACAAATGTTTGAAATGATAAAAGTACGTTCGTATAACACCACAGGAAATATGAAACAGATAAGCTGCTTCGAATATCGGGGAGCCTATATATATAACGCTGCGTGCAATTTCGGTGAATCCAACAATTTAAAAAAATGTGTGTTTATTAGTGTAAACACGCGGCAGAAGTTAACTTCGGCTTATATGTATTGAATTGTATAATTAAGTTTTATTTTAAAGTAATCTTATATAGAATTAATTTATTATTATCATTATTATTTCAAACTGCATTTAAAAAAAATAATTAGGATGGAAACGGTATAAATATAAACAAAATTTTCATTTTCAATACATAATACTAAAAAAAAAATTATTGTGTACATTTATAGAAAAGTATCATTATTATTAGTCTATTTCCATTATGCTTATTTGTGTTTCAGCACATACTTTTGTTATCAAAGGCTTGCGGTAACTAAAATAAGAAATGTAAATTTTGTGTAAAAAAATAATAGTAAAAATAACTGTAAATGTAAAAATCTTCTTTTCACACACACATTCATTTTTTCACTATTGCCATTTACATTAAACCATAAATATTTTATTTACAAAATCGCTTCAATACAAGTTGGGTTGTTTCATTTATTATTATAAACTTAGAGTTTTGAATTTATTTTATAGTTTATATATATATATATATATATTAAATAACATCTCGTGGTTATGATATTAATATTTTTAAACTCGCGACAGCTTTTTTAAAAACGTGGTGAAAGTCGGAACTTCATACATCTTTAACTAACCTTCATCGCGTAACCGTAACTGGTAACGCGTACCGAAAAATTTTCCCTAACGTGTCATAAGAAGTTAACTTCAAAAAAAGGAGCGTTAAACCGAAACAGAGTGCTAAACGAAACAGCGTTAAGCGGGGTCTTACTGTATAAGCTAATTCCTTTTATAAAAGTATCCAGGAGGAAAAAAATTATTATTTTTATTACTTCTCCGGATTGAGGGGGTGGCAGTGGTAGCCGAGTGATCATGGGTGCGAACTCGTGACCCACGTTGTTGAATCGCGGGTTCGAATCCTAGTATCACTGATGACCCTCCACATAGAGGAGCTGACACACATTAAATCTGTCGAAGCTCAAAGCCCACCCGTTGGTGTGGTGAAAGGGTTTGGAGAACCTAGAGCCAGCTCAGGTGTCGTCTTCATCACTGGAACGAGGTTCAAAATTAAGAAATCCATCATCAATAAGTCCTTGCACTGCTTCAGAGTGGGATGCGAATTAAAATCAAACCACATTGATGTTACATTCATAGTTAACTCTAATGCAGTGCTTTTCAAATTTTCAATATTTGCGACCCAATATTCAATCATAATTTTCATCGCGCCCCCCCCCCCTTTCCCACAATAACAATGTATTGAATTCAATAATACAATACTCTGACTCTAAAACTACATTTCGAATTTGTTACGAATTTATTTTTTTGCAACCGGCGATAAACGTCTCATTCAACCAATGCGTTAATTACCTCGGACGTATATATACGCCTTTTCAAAGTACGATCTTTTCTGTGAACTACTCCTCGTAAAATTATCCCGAAAGCTTTGGAATGAAATAAAATGATCTTGACAGTGTTTGCGAATATTTACTTATTTCAGAGAGAATTTGCTTCTTTATTCCTTTTCTACCCCTCCCACCCTATACACCCCATACCCTCGACTACGTGTTAAAAGGTTGGCATTGGGGAGCGAATCGTGCAATTTTTAATCGGCATTTAAGGGATTAATTATAAACCGTTCAAATTATCAAGATAAGTGTTAATTTTTGTAAATAATATTTTATACGACGAGCCCATGGGATCACTGGTAACTATTAAACCTGTTTTTAACTTAGTATTGTTAAATTAATTATGAAATACACATTGTGCATTACTGATACTTTTATAAGTATGTTAGTGTAAATGTGTATTTTAATATGTCAGAATGTATTTTGTTTGTTTACTTTCAATAAATTGATAAATCATATTTTGATTTCGACTATTCTATATGCTTGCGCCCCACATATTGAGAAACACTGCTCTAATGTAATAAATGCATTTGAACAAACGTCATTTATATAAGTTTAGGAGATGGTACTTTTTTTTTTTTTTGTTATTTTAACTCTCCCTCACAATTAATGAGAATATAACCTGAGAATTGTTGCATCATTCTCCAAATCCCACTTTATATGAAGGATTAAATTTACTTGAATTTTCTTTTTTAAAAAAATAGCAGCCTCCTCTTTTATTCCACGTGGCCGCTTTTATTACTTAGCACATGTCCTTTTTTCAATTCCTACTATTAGTTCACACTCTCCCTATATATATATATATATATATATATAACTCACACTCATAGTGGCGCAACAGCCCATGAGAGCCTGGGCCTACTGTGCCCATCCCAGTATACGTGACCATTGGGAGCTGAGGTGAATGAGCAGATGTCGCGATCAGTTGGTCAGTCTGAAGCGAGACCCCTAGTGTTTAAGTCCCCAAGCAATATATATATATATATATATATATATTCAAATTTTCAATCGTTAATAAAATACTTTTTATTCATCCACTCAATTTCAAATACAATTTTTTAAATTTGTGGTGCGTGGTACTCGACGTTATATAATACAGTTTTTTTCTCAAACATTAATTCATTAGTTAAACTAAATTTTAATGAATAAATAGAGCAACAAAAATAATAGTTCAACAGCATATGTAGAAAGGAAAGTTGTTCATTGTGTCCCTATAGCGCAATGGATAGCGCGTTGGACTTCTAATCCAAAGGTCGTGGGTTTGAATCCCATCTGGGTTGGCCTAATTTCTGAGAATGTGATTTCTTTTTACTATACTATCTGATTAAATTTGAAAATTAATAAAAAGTAACAAACAAAAATAATTGAAAATTACAAGGAAAATCGCAGTCTATTTTTCCACTTATAATATTGTCATTCTGTCATATGTATATACCTATTTATATTAATTGTAATTATTTAATAAAAGGTAACTAAAATAAAAAAATGTCTTTGTTGACCTAAGTAGGAATCGACTTAAATTTTTTTTTTATATTACTTGTTTATTTTTGTTTAAGCATCTCAGTCTTGATTGAGTTTAAATCAGTCAATCCCCATGAGGGAGTAGTAGTTCCCATTCACCTAGACCAGGGGTCGGCAAACTTTTCAGTCGGAAGAGCCAAAAATTACAATTTACAAAATTTCAAACTTTTTAAAGAGCCACAAAAATTTTTCTTGCAATAAATAGTACTTGCAAAATAAAGTTTTTTTGATAAAAAAAAACTAATTTATTTATTCATAAGAAAAAATATCTATTTATTCATTTAGAAGTAGTGTTTTTCACAACAAATCAGATAATATACTATGTATGGCATTAGAAAAAAAATATTTATAGAAGAGAAAAGGTCAAAAAATTGAAGCTTCGCCACCTGGCGGGAAAAAATGGTAATAATTATGCGTTTTAAGCTTTTTAATTAATATTTTTAACTAATTGCAATATCGGAATATAACTGGTCAAAACGGGGATTCCTCGGATCATTCCCGATCTTTTGGTACCTTCGGCGAGTTTATGCGTCCTGCGTTTCGTGAGAAGATACACATAGTCGCAAAGTCGCTCGCATAGATACGTTTGTTTACGTACGAATTTTAATAGTGTAGATAAATAATATTTGCGTATGGAACTAAAGAGCCGCAGCTTCACATCCAAAGAGCCGGATGTGACTCGCGAACCGCAGGTTGCCGACCCCTGATCTAGACAAATAAAATATAGCCGTTATTTTTATCTGTTTCGTGTTTAAATAGTTCTAATAAAATCAATTCGGCTTAAAATATTACATAATTATTCTTCACAACAAATTTTTTTTTCATTAATTTCTTTCATTATTTGTGTAATTTGCACCTCAGCTGAATGGTATTAGCACCGAGCTTGAGGTTGGCGATGTTTTAGTCGAGTCTTGAGTCGTGTCTCCAATTAAGACCCCAGGGCTGCGGTAGCCCAGTGGTCAAGGTATCGGCTCATGACAGGCATGTCATGAGTTCGAGCCCAGTACCACTAAAGACCCGCCGTGTAGGGCAACGATGCACGTTAAATCTGTCGAGAGCTGAAACGTCCTCCTGTTGGTGTGGTAGTTAGGAGAGAGGGTGCCAGCTCAGGTGTCATCCACGTCACTTGACCATGGTTCAAAATTATGTGGTCCGTCACCAAAAGCCCTCACCTAAGTCCTCGCTGAACAGAGCGACGTTAATATTTACTCACTCCCTCCGATTAAGACCCATCGTATTAAATGGCTTAAATCTTTCCAGGCTCAAATATCAGCTCCGTTACAGGAACAAACTGTTTGCGAATTGCTTTAGATTTTCAATACTACCTTGTCACAATTCATAGCTAAAAGTTTTCCATCGAGTACTAGGGACCGCAGTATGCTAATGGTCAAGGTAACGAGCACGTGACTGGCGTGTCATGAGTTCGAACCCGAACAACTGCCGTGTAGAGAGGCTGATGCACGTTAAATCTATCGGAGCTTAAACGTCCTCCTGTTGATGTGCTGTGGAAGTTAGGAGAGGAGGTGCCAGCTCAGGCGTCGTCCTCGTCACTCGACCATGATTCAAAATTACAAGATCCGCTGCCAAAAGCCCTCGTGTCGCTGAATAAGACGACGTTAATTCCTATTCACTCACTCACTCAATAGGTATAAGTAAAGTATATAAGTAAAACTGAAATATATAAATGAACTTAACACTTGATTAGAAAGTTGTCATATTTGAAGCTCATGATCACAATCATTTAGTTTTTAGCAGTTTTATAAGCTCAACTACGATAATTTGGTTTTTAAAAAAAAGAAGCAATCGGTTCTCTCAATAACTGTTGTTATTTGTTGAGAAAGAGTATGATAATTTAGTTTATTCCATAGCTAGTAATTTGTCGTTTCTAATCTCGATATGCAATCTTTAGGTAACAAGGAATGGAAATACATCAAAGAAGATGCTACTCAGACGTCGTTCTCGTTACTTGACAATGACTCAAAACTATGAGATCCATCGTCATTCACCTTTGAATAGCTTCAATGAATGAATGAATGAAGCCACATTCACATCAAGGTAGTCAGCGTCGAGCGTTAGGCGTCTAGCCAGTCAGTGACTTCATCTCGCCCGAGATGAAGTCTCTGATTGGCTACACGCTCAATGCTCGACGCTGACTGCTTTGGTGTGAATGTGGCTTAAGCGTTTATTGGTCTCTCGTTAAAGCAGCACAAGGACTATTGGTGAGAGACCTCCTAATTTCGAACCATGGTCAAGTGACGAAGGCGACACCCGAAGAGGCACCGCGCTCTTTTAACTTCTACACCAGGCCCACCAGAGGACTTTGAACCACGATAGATTTAACGTGCATCAGCCCTGGCACCCTACTATCAGACCTCGGCGGGTCTTGCAGTGGCACCAGGACTCGAAAACGCTGACCGCATGTTCGTAACCATTGACCATTAGGCTACTGCGGCCACTTTAGTAGTTTCAAAACAATATGAAAAATATCAGGAAGTTAGAAACATTCTGAAGTTGGTTACAACTCTGAATGCAACTCTGAATGCAATTTAAATACTCCAATTGCATCCACTGGTGCAATTACCATGTCACAGACAGCCATGTTCAAATTGAGTGAGTATTTCGAATCCTGCTTTGAATAAGTGAGTAAGTATTTCCATCGCACTATTCAGCTACTCGAGGGCTTTCGGCGACGGACCTCGTAATTTTGAACCATGGTCAAGTGACGACATCTGACATGGCACCATCTCTCCTAACTATCACACCACACCATCGGGAGGACGTTTGAGATCTAGACAGATTTAACGAGCATTACTCCCCTACATGGCGGGTCTTTTATGGTGCTGGGCTCGAATTCATGACATGCTAACCACGATCCGATACCTTAACCATTAGGCTAGTAGTAACTTAAAATTCCAAGGTTCGTTGTGTGTTGTTGCAATGCGACTTTCATTCAAACAAGTAATACAAAAAAAAAAGTAATTAATTCCAGCTTAGGTCAACAAAAAATAAGTTTTATATATTAGTTACTTTTTATAAAAAATAATTACAATTAATATAAATAGGAAATACATATGACAGAATCACAATATTAAGGGGCAATTAATTTTTATTAATTATCATTAAAGTATTATATTGCCATCCAAAACAACCGTGTGTAGAAAATTTCAGTTTAACTCTAAATGCTTTAAAACTTGAGAAAAAAAAATCTTTTAAAGATTTGACCCAAGTCGTGCTAAAAAAGAAACCAATGTGATTGCATCTGTAATTCTTTAAATAATTAGTTTCAGTCAATAACTCAATTAACAATCGTACATAGAAAATTTCAGCTCAAATGAGCGCCTTAAAATGTGAGAAAAAAACCTTTTAAAATTTTGACACAAGTCGCCAAAATGGTCGTCAAAAATGACACCAATGTAGCTTTATCTGTAATTCTTTAAATAATTAGTTTTAATCAATAGGTTTTTATTAATTATAATTTTAAATTACCGTATTGTCATCCAAAATAATCGTGTACATAAAATTTCAGCTCAATTGAGCGCTTTAAATTGTATTTTATTAACGATTGAAAATTTGAACACGATATTGGGAGATAGTGAATTAATAACAGGAATAAAATTAAAGGTTAGGGTGTTAATGTAATTATTCACACTCAACTCTTATTAATGAAAATGATTAATTACAATCATTATTATTAATGTAAGCGATTCATCCAATCAAGTATAGTATCCATTTAATCTTATTTTCTTTATTAATATATATGACTACTTATTTCTCTATTAATATAACAAATTACATTGAAAGGAGTTTATCTACTTTGTTGATTTATCCGGTTAAGGTATCCGTCCTTGGTTTGATTTGTCTGTTAAAGTATATAAGGTTTTAAAAATTGAAAAAGAAATTATGATTTCATTTTATGGGCTATCTTATATATTAGCTTTATAAAAATACCAAGTATTTTTATTTTCCATTCACTAGAATAAAAATAACAAGTGTTTTAGCAAAAGCAGATGCCATTACATAAGATGTCAAACTTTAAAATGCGTTTTTCTCGTAATGTGTTTTTTCCGAAAAGCTCAAACGGGGAAAGCGATTGCTCAAAAACTTTTCAAAATAATTTGCTGAATTTTTTTGTGTATCTTCTGTATAACACAGTAGAAGTATTTTAACCTTCAGATTTATTAATCACTGTTTTATTACTAAATTTACGGTTCTTTTTATGTGAATATAATCACATTGGTTTTTTTTAAAAATATTTCATATAATAACTAAGATAAAGTGCTCTAGTTTTTGTAAAAATTAAAATATCTCTTGTCCTGAAGGTCATTTCAAAAAGGAATAGAAAAATAACACATCAAAATTGAAAAATTGAAAATGTGTTCATTTAATATTTGTACAGAGGGGGCCCCGTTTATGTAATTTTTTGTCAAATTTACAAATATTTTTCCCCATTTTTGTAGTAATAATTTATTCTTCTCTTCTTAATTTTAGCCTTTTTTTTCTTAAATTGTACTAAATAAATCTAAAAACTACAAAAAAAAAATCTCCATATTTCCATTTTTTCAAAAAAAAAGGTTGTTGCAAGTAATGGGATACCTTAACCCCCGTTTATATGTATTTTATTACTAGTCACTTAGAATAAATATTTTATCCAAAGCGTTTTAAGAGTAATTCCATTTTGTCATCAATCAGCTATTTATTTTTTAAAGTACTTATTGAGAAAAACTCAATAAAAATATTGGATTCGCATAAAAGACAGCCC